ACACCTTTTGAATATCTGTCTTTTACCTGCTTACTGACTGCCTCCCCCTCTGGAATGTGAGCCCTAGAACAGCAGGTTTCTCCAGGCAGGTCCTCGGGCCTGGGCAATGCCTGGCTCAGTATGTGTTGATTGCATAAGCTGTTTTTTTTTAAGTTTTACTTCTTAAAATACATTGTACTTGATTTTCATGCCCCTTTACCCATTCCTCTCCACCCCTGCCCCTCCCCACTGCATAAGTTGCTTTTACAGTGTAGTTCTCTGCTGAAAGGCATTCTGTCTGCACCTAATTTTTTTTTTTTTTCCCCTTTTGGTTATTATGGACCCTCATATGTCCATCTATCTGGGATCAAATTTGTGATTTTTTTTAATAAAAGATATTTATTTTGGCTTCAAATTTGTGATATTTGTATATGAAGTACAAATAGAGAAGAAGGATACCTGGAACACAGGGCACCCCCTTCCTCATGCCCCTCCCCCTGCCCCCCCAGCACCGAGGACCCTTAGACCACAACATCTGCCCACTGCATGTCTGAGCACTTTCTCATGATTTCTTCATTACAGATCTGTCTGGCTCCATCTTGCCAATGTCCTTGTCTGTGGTTCATCTTTTCACTTCATGCTGTCTTTTGGTCACACATAATGCTCTAATGTTTCTTGTCAGATTCAACCAGTTTAAAAATGGATTTCTGAGTTCAGAAGCCTGCTAAAAATGAGCTTTCTTCCCTACCTCAGAATTAGAAATGCATCCTTTCATTCACTCTCCCAAGGCAGAGGGTAGCAAATAGAAAAAGAAAGATAGAAAATATTCTAGGCTCTTGAGGTGAGATGGTCTTGGTCAGATGGTCTTTGTAGTGACAAAGCAGTGGGGGCCCTGTGTACAGCAATGAGCCTGGTGTGTTCCCATACAACTTCATTTACTAAAGAAAGGCCGCCACTGGCCACAGGTTGGTTTGCCAACCCCTGTTCCAGACTTTACGTCGACTCATCTGGAGCTTCTCCTGATGTGAGGAGCATCTCTAGCTCCAGCCGGCTGGCACAGCTGCATTTATCTTGCTAGCCACAGGATTCGTGGAGCTTTATGAGGCATTTGGACAGACTCAAGCGTGTGACCTTGGTTTTCTGAGGATATCATGTACATGTTCATCCTACACGGAACCCATCTCCACAAAGGCAACTGTGAACTCACTAACATGGACACACACAGGGCTCACCCTACCAGGCCCTGCTTTATGTCTTCCCTCATCAGAGCCTCATGCGACCCCCAAGCAGTAGGGACCAGGAGCAGCCACGAGCAGCCACAGGTGCAGGTGGGGAAACAGAAGCACAGAGCGGCTGAGTGTTGGGGTAGAACCCCACCTGCAGAGCAGTATAGCCACCCACCCTCCCCACTCTAGGTTGCTCTTAAGCCCTCCCTTCTCACAGCCTCTCACTGGCCCTCCCTATCCCCCTCCCCTTCACTGTGGCCATCACATCTAAATGTCAGGGCCACCTCTGCTTCCTTCCTGGCCCTCAGAGAGCCCTCAAAGCCCCTCTCCTCCTCCTCCAACCTCCCAGCTCTGAGCATGGTAGAGGTGTAGGGATCTGGGTAGAATGAGCATGGGCTCTTGGCCATCGGCCAGGGTGGGATGGGGGGCATGGGACACCCTCCAGCAGGGTCAATGGCCAGCACAGTGGAAGACACGTGTCAGACCCCAGGACAGGCATGGGACGTCTGCCTCTCTATGCCCCTTGCCCTTGGCATTGTAAGGTGTGAGCCTCTTGGGAAAGCTGCCTCAGCTTCCCCTCCCTCCATTCAATTGCAGAGAATAGCACAGACTTCCGTGGGGGTGGGGTCTCCTGAGAAAGATACCTTCTTTACAATCAAAGCGTCTTTCTTCCTTATTGCTCCCGATGCCTGAGATTTACTGTCTCCATTCCTAAGGCAACCTTGGTGGTAAGAACCAGGAGGAGGGGGCCGGCCTGGTGGCGCACTGCTACAGTGCGCCGCTTGGAAAGCGTGGCAGCGCTCCCGCCGAGGGTTCGG